TCACTAGTATAGTAGAAAAAAATTGTTTAACATGACAGTAAGACGTACAATTACTGTATTATTCCCAACATTTTTCTAATAGCAATGCTATTAAACGAAATATAGAGTTTACGAAAACAAATTTCTATAACTGTGCGCCGCTATGGCCCTGCTATTAGTCCTACTTCTAAAATAATTGAATGAAATCTATTCTGAATCAGTAACTGGATAAATTGAACAAGACCATACCTAGTGAATGTTTAGATGTCATAAACATTTATATTTAAATAGATAAGAACTATTTATATACTAAAATTAACTGACGTTAATATTGGTAGTAATATAATTATATTGTTTATTTCCACTTTTTTTAACTTTTTATTCAGAACATAATTTATGTAAAATAGTAACACGCAAGTTTCCTGCTCAATCTTCTTGTAATGAGTCTACGTTCTGAATGAGTGGTAAAATAATAAAAAAGATGATTATATTAAAGTGCTCATATTAAGTTCATTTGAATAAAAATTATTTCTACATATTATGTCGTGTTATTACTTATTGTAAGTATATAATAAGCAAACTTTTTCAAAGATACTAAGATATACATTGACAAGACATTACGGAAACGTTGTCTTTACCGTAAATATTACCAGAGAATATTGTTGTCTGGTAATATTTAGGTAGTAGGTAGCAGGTTGGTAAATATTTTTTTTTCAGTCATATTAATTGGCACTGCTCTTATGAGTATTCAACCAAAATTTAATCTATGTAACAAATTGAAATGGTTCTAAAAAATAAATACATGAATAAAACCTTCAAAATTAATATATTCAAGGAGTTGTACGCAGATATTCCGTGTTAAAAATATTGTTACGCAGATTCGTAGAAAATTACACGATTACACTTTTCTTACTTACCTAATTAGAGAATCCGTTGTAATAAATAATAGCTGTTTACAACTATCGCTGCGATATATTAATGCCGAAACAAAATTCTACGAACTATCCAATTCCCTTAAGATAATATCCATACCTTGTATTAATTATATTCTCCATATTACTCTACATACAATGAAAAGTTCAGAAAATGTACCAACTTAAGTTATAAAATATTATACTGAACGGTCAGAGTAAAGACAAATATCCTCAACTCATGTAGAAGGACCAGCGCCCTGCAATACGCAGAGGAAAATATGGAGACATAAAAATCCTTTAATGAAAGACAGAACTTAACCTCCGAACTTAAAGATATTTATCTCTATCGCTGGTGAGCTCTCATCGTGCATTTAGTATATTGCTTCAAGGAACCAAATTGTCATTCCCATCGAGTCTTGGTTTTCCCTGAAGTGTCCAGTATCGATCGAATACGTACCGTACTCACCCATCATTTAGGGTAGAAAGCAATAAACATCAAAGCAACGTTTATGTGATTGAATAATAGAAAACCTGGATGGTATAAGATATATACTGACGTGTCCAGTCTGTAAATTTTTATCTCTGCATTGGGAACTATTAATTAACATTATCTGTACGTGTTTATAATTAAAAATCTACAACATAAAAAAACAAAACTAATTCTGAGTTTTACATCAAATTTAATTCTAATAATGTAGTTTCTATTAAGATTTACATAAACGTTTTTACAACAGAAAACAACTATAACTTGTAGAAGAGCTTGCCATGCCATACAACAAGCCATTAAGGACTGACGACATAGTATACTTTATTATTTAACTGTAATGGTAAACAAGCTCTTCGTCTCCAACTCCATTGGTATTATGGTGAATGATACAGATATGGTGATGGTAATGACTTACGACGTCATACATGAAGAATACCATGGACATCAGGTTATCATGCCCTTGGTACCCCTCATGCATTGTCATTCCAATGGGACTAATGACCTTTAAAAATATGCAGCTTATAAAGCCAGTTACTTGGTATTTGTAATAGGTGAGACCTCTGTCTCCTCTGAGCTTAGGTAACCGACTTTGAATAGTCTACCTCAGTAAAATTAAGAACTTAAATAGTAATAGAACGAGGTCACTTTCCTTTTGGTAGCTTATTGTTGTCTGAATATTTTTTTTTCCTATTTCAATATTGTTCCATTTAAAAAATATACGGGAATCCGATGTAATAAAATCAGCATAGATTAGCGAAACCAAATTTTATAAAATTCAAATGTAAAAAATGTAATCATCCATTAAAGATCCGTCGTGCTAACTTTCCACAATCCTTTCAAATGCTTGATACTGTGTAACGAAGCGTAATGGTTCATTTTATTTGCATAAATTTGGATACGAAGATTTATGTCCGCGTCCTGTATAATTAGAGATCAGAAGTAATTTCATTAATTTCCAGCAAAAATATTTTGCATATCTGCTAGGCGATATCTAATTAAAAAGTTTTTGAAGTAGAAAAAAACATTATGTAAACTCCTACCTTTTGGAAAATATAAGTATATTTATGTACTATCTAAATTGTACATAAATACATGTCAATAGCATTAGTGCCCTTTAAAATTGTTATGGTTGTCATAGCATAATCTCTGAGCACCTTTCTTTATTATGATTACCATTTTTCTTAAACAAAACTTTATTGCCTACTCTGTAGTGTATAGGATTTAGAAATAGCTTATTTTTATAATTTTTCTTTTGTACGTGGCAGGTTCTCTTTTACTATTTTTTTTTTGTTTAACGTTACTATCTAGATAGATACAGAGTGAAAAAGATCGAGTACTGCAGAAAAAGTATGCGTGTTAAACATTGAAGATAGTAAATTAAATAAAGGAAAGAGTCTCTTTAGTTTTAGAAATAAGGATAGCTACATTCACTGGTGTTCAAGAGAATATTTTTTAGCATGATTTTTTTTTATTGTAATGGCAATTACAGAGAATTAAAAATTTGTATTTAAAATTATCCTTATCAAAGCCGCTTTGTTTATAATCGTTGAACTATAAAAAAATACTGCAAGATCAGTAAAATATTTATATATAGTCAAATATGATTTAAAGCATATGAATTTTTAATTAAATCATATGTAATAAATAATTACTGACGTTTTTATTGCACCAATCGTTAGCTTCAATATTAAGTATGTTTTAATTTTACTTTAAACCACGATACTAGAACATGCATCTATCACTTTATAGAGAATCATTACTGTAGCCTATGCTCGCCTTAAACACCAGGGTCATAACATGCGCATTGTCGACTCTTAAGAAACTTTAATTCTTGAAAAATCCCGTCCTTATTTATTTATCCTTTATTGCACTATTTAAAATAATGTATAATTGGCGAGCTTAATGCCATATGGCATTCTCTACCAGCTAACCATTGGGTAGAAACAGAAAGCGGTTGAAGGGCAGTATTGGGAAAAGGCATACTATTTGTATTTACCTAACTTAGGTATATATATCGATAGTAATAAGCATACATACCTATGAATATATATATACAAAAACACAAAAATATATAGATATGTATAAATAGATAAATAATAATAATAAATAAATATATAAATATATATACAAGATATTACTACTATATATTTTATATGACAACGGAAAGTAGTTAACACTCATCTTGTTGCTTCAACATATAATTATAAAGTTTCCTTTTGAATGTTGCCTTACATTGTGTTTTACGCAGGTCCACAGGCATTCTTTTCCAAAGAACAATAGCGGTGACAGTAAAGGAATTAGATAAAAAACCTGAGTGATGTGAAGGAGTTGTGAGAAGAAGGGATTGGGACGAACGAAGATTAAGGGAATGGGTGTCGGAGATGAACTGGAACCTGTTTTTAAGATATGAAGGAGAGGATGGGTCATTAATGATAGTGAAAAGAGTACATAAGATACGCCAGTTTCTGCGGCTACGAATATTTAACCAGTTTAATTGTGAGCGAAATTTGGACACGTGGTCATACTTACGCAATCCAAAGATGAACCGGATGCAGTTATTGAGTAAGCGATCTAACTTATTCAACTGTTCCTGGGTAAGATTGGTGAGACACACGTCAGCATAGTCGATATGCGGAAGTATTAGAGACCGTACAAGAAGTAATTTAGTGGAAGAAGGGAGAAAGAATTTAAATCGATAAAGAGCACGCAGAATGCATGTAACCCTGCGACAAACCTCAGCCATATGGAAATGCCAATTAAGTGTTGAATCAATTGACAGGCCCAGATCCTTAACGCTAGAGCTAAATGGGATGATGCTATTCTCACATTGCAGATGCAAATTAGTTGTGTTTATTTTAACAAGCAGTCTTGAGCTGCCTATTATAATAGCCTGACATTTTTTAGGATTGATCGAAATACCAAAGCAACGTGACCACTTAGATATACTCTCAAGATCCGTATTGAGTTTATCTATTGCACTAAAGATGTCATTTGGTTCAGACTGAGCATATAGCTGTAAATCATCGGCGTAAAGGTGATAAGAGCATTGAAGATGGCAGATGATAAGGTTAATAAAGAGAGAAAAAAGAAGTGGTGAAAGAATAACGCCTTGCGGAACACCAGTGTTCACATCAAGCCAGTCGGACAGATCTTGTCCAACACGAATTGCTTGTTGGCGTCCGCGAAGATATGAAGAAAACCAGTCCAGTACCGACGGAGAGAAGTTAAGATGGGAGAGCAATGTTAAGAGTAAGTCATGGTCAACACAGTTAAATGCATTGGAGAAATCGATCAACACCAAAAGGGTGAGACGAGCGTTCTCCATGCCACTACGGCAGTCCTCAGTTATTTTTAGTAATGCCGTAGTGGTACTGTGTCCTGGACGAAAACCAGACTGAAGAGGGCTAATGAAGTTACATTTAGAGATAAAAACGGATACTTGTTGATGAATAATATTCTCAAGAACTTTTGAGAGAATAGGCAAGATTGAGATGGGTCTGAAGTGACTAGGGAGTGTTGGATTATTTGTATGCTTTTAGCCACAATTTAGGGTAACATCCATTAGATAATGAAAAATTTACAATATGAGTTACTACTGGAGGAATTGTGTTTAATAAGAGTTAGTTAGTTTTATTTTTATTAAGAGTCTTAGTCTTAGTTTTATTAAGAGTAATCATTGCTCTGCTCAAACCGTCGTAGCCTGTAGCATTTGATTTGATAGACAGGATAGCTTTGCGAACATTCTCGTCAGTCACTGGAGAAAATATAAAGGCATTAGTAGTATAAGAGGGCATGGATTTAATTTCCTGTAAAGTGGATATTTTAACAGAGGCGTCAAGGGGTTTTGCAGAGGTAAAGTGCTTATTAAGTTCATCCAGTACGATGTTTGTGTGAAAGGAGGCTGACACTTTACCAAAACCAAGAGAGTTCAGGAATTTCCATATATTAGCCAAAGGAGTATTAAAGACATTTTGGTGAATATTTTTGTGGCGTTTAGCAGCTCTTACCATCTGATTACAACGATTTCTAGCTCGCTTGAAAAGGTGAAAGTTACCTGCACTTCTCTCTTTTCTGTATACGCAAAAAGCCCGATCTCGCTTCGTCATGGCTTTTCTAACGTCTTCTGTAATCCACGGAGCAGGTGGACGTCGCAACTTGATTACGCGAACTGGAGCATGTTTATTAAATAAGTCAATAATCTGCGTATTGAACAGTAAAATTTTATTGTCAACATTGGTGGTTTCCAGTACCGGGTTCCAGTCTATAAGTGCAGCATCACGATGCAGTGAATTGACATCAATTCGGTTAAAGTTACGTACGGAGGCAATGATTGGTTTTGGCTTCTGTGGTTTTACTTTATAAGACAAGAGTAGAAGGTCATGCCGTGAGAAAGCAGGTGCAGGTAACTGATCGTGATCGATAACATAGTCGGTCGAAGATGTACAAATTATGTCTAACCAGGAGTCCTCGGTATCAATATTGTGGTGAGTTGGCTTTAAGGGCAGAATAGACAAATCTGCCGAGTTCAGGATATTTTTCAGTTTACGCGTATGTATCGAATCATTCATGAGATTAGTGTTAAAATCCCCCATTATAATAATTTCATTAAAAGAAGTACTTAGTTGATCTAAGACAGCATCAAAATCAGTGAAATAATTTAGCTGAGGTGGGCAGTAGACAACTACAATGGCTACCCTAGAACCCTTAAAGCCAACCTCAATAAAAAGAAATTCTGCAGTGCCCCGATATTCAGATGCAGAGGACGCAATGACTTTATAAGGAATATGGCTACGCAAATAAATTGCAACGCCTCCACCACCCTTATTCGTGCGATCGTTCCTGATTAGGATAAAACCAGGAAGAGAATATGTTGTAGACGAGAGTGCAGGTTTTAACCACGATTCTGAAACAAGCACGGCGTGGACGTTAGGTTTTGTGAACGTGTCGACTAAATCGGTGTAATGTGCTGGAATGCTTTGTGCATTTATGTGGCATATGTACATTAAAAAATTTGGAGCTTTTTACTCTTTCATGCAATAAACATCCAATGTTGTCTTCACAAATTGATGAGTTGGCGGAATAGAATATAGAACTACTACTACTTGATATATCAAATGAGTCATCGTCTGCTAGCATTATGTTGTCTTAATAATGTAAATAAAATATATAATACAATATAATATAAAATAGATAAAATAAATATAAAAATAATATTAATAATAATTATAGTTTAAACAAAACGATCGCTTTATGTTTTAATACCTGCCGGCGCGCCGTAACAAACACATTTAACAAAACACTGAAATAACATTATATGACTACCATCCATCCTTATTGCAGTATGTGCGACTTCACTCACGTACTGCAATGAGTTTTCTCTAGAGAAAACTCATTCATTTTCAGTAAAAACCAGGACATAAATATTTTATTTTAGACATTCATGTATGTATATTGTAAAAGAATAGTGACAATGGAGTTACTTTGTTAATAAGTGTCTTGCAATTAACTTATTTTTTATTATATGAAAGAGCAGATATTTTTTTGTTGAATGGTATATTAAATGAATGAAGAGTTTAAAAAAAGAGAATTATGTTTTAAATATATTACTCAACTATCGAACATTATATTGCTGTACATTCACTGTTAAAAATGTAATATGTCATAATAATTTATAAAAATTTCATTTTGTTTTGTTCAAAAATACATTGACCATATTTCAAATGTATTAAAAACTTTTTTGCAGAACTTTGTTCAATAGTGAGTGACTATTCATTTTATTTTTCTATAACTAGTCTAAATAAAATAAGATATAAAACTACTATAGTTCATTATATTCCACATTTTAATCTAACAACAATATAAGAGAATGTAAAAAAACTTGCAGTTATAAGAATTCAAAGTAAACAGAGCCAACCGTGCTTGGAGCAGTTATCACGCCAAAGTGCGGAAACAACGTTACCCACCGACATGAACCGAATTGTATTCGCCCGCTTATTTTCTCATTTTATTATTGTTTTTTCTTGTTTTCCTTTTCTACCATTCGCTGTTTACAATAGTCACATGTTGGATTTTGTATCGTATACCTACTACATTTAGTCAGCTCGTGAAAACTTGAAGTTCTATTGTAGTAAATGCAATTTTTAGAACCAAAATTTTTGAGTTAAACGAAAATCTATTTTTAGTTTAACAAATTTAGGAAACATTTCTTTAATATGTTTCCAGATAAAGACATTATAGATAGTTTTCTCTCCCTGTATCTATATGTAGTTTGAGTATCATTTTTGTATTCTCTCAGACTTCTAATAGATTACAAAAATAATAATATAGTGAGAGAGATAACTCACTCGAACATTAATGTCTTGTAAAAAGTAAAACCTAACTTTGCTTCGTTTTACTTCAGAATAAAGTGAAAAATCTACGTCAGGAACACAGAACAAAAATATGTTAAAGCGAAAGAATAAAAACTCGACATCAAACTCTGTGCTAAGCTACTTTGACACAAAAAGAATAAATACTCTCGAAAAGGAGACAATTTCCAATAGTATTATAAAGGATTACTTTGATAGTGATGATGCCAATGCAACAGAATTGTAATCATCGTAATAATTTATTATTGATATTATTTTTAAATAAATGGTTTACACCATCGTGAACTTTATTTACACGTAAAGTTTACTGACTGATAATTTGCAATCTTTAATCTTATAGTCCACAGTTGTATTCTTCCATTTAATATATACGGGTATAGAATTCGATGTAATAAAATCTAAATAAAAGCATTTATACTCATGGTATTGCAATTCTCCTATGGTTTATTTAATTTTATTACCACTCTTTACTATTTCCCATCTGTCAAAACTTCAACTTGTTTACTAAGAATGTTGAATGTTGAATAAATAGAAATCAACAAAAGCATACAAGTTTAGAAGTGTATCGCACTTGCTAACCTCAGTAAGTATCTTATTGACATTAAACTTTACAGCTCATCCCAGTGTTTGTACTTGCTTTATTATTTCTTCGTCGAGAACAAAACGTAGGCAGTGGGTAATTAGGTGCTCAGCAAACATAACAAATACAGCTTCAGCACAATGCGAAAGCGAAACTGCTTGTTTAATGAGTGAAGTGAAAATGGATCCTTATATAACCATGTAGTCACGTTGATCTAACAATCCTTTAAATTGGACGTATTTTTATTCTTCTACCATGTCTTATAAATTTTGTACATAGCTTCAGTACTTTAAGAAGCAATTACAAAGATAAACAGGTCCGCCAAAATGTGTATAGGTGAAACGTCGAGGACAGCCATATAATACATATGAGGCATCAAACGATGGAAAAGTCGTTACACCAACATCCCACTAAACTAATTAATAACCTAATGCTATCAAAAAAAGTAGAAGTAATAATTATGAAATGATTTATAATATTACGAAAAATAGAATCAAAATAAATTGAACAATTACAATTACATAATTATTCAAATGAAATCCCTTAACAATAATTGTAATTAATTATCAGATGTCATTTCAAATACAAATACTGAAGAAATGCAGCAGAAAAATAGATCAAATATACTAATCAATGACTATACATATTTCTTTCTAATAAAATGGATCATATATGTACTAACAAAATACTTTTTTAGTAAATTATATATGTATGACTTACAACTAAGTTTACTAACAAGTAGGATTTTACTTCTTACCTACTCTTACCTACTCTAAAATTTATTATTATACGTAAATAAATCACTGACTTATTAGTATTTGTTACGAAACACTCCTAAATATAATTCCTAACTTGTTAACGAAAAGATATTTATGCATATTCATAGTTAGTGAAGTGAGGGAATCTGAGGGATTATTAGCATATTATAAATACTCGTTTTGATCCGAAGTATACGGCTGCGGGCAATCTGTTACAATAATATTATATTTTAGGGAGTGCCTTCACTATCGAGGACGAAAATAGTGACATTGGAAATCGGCAGTAGACATTAACACCTTATATCCTGAGATTTAGTGTAACCGATACGCACTGGCTATACATTTATATATAAAATTTGGATACAATATTATTAATCATAACAAAATAATTTGATAATATTAGCATATAAAGTTTTATATAAATATATGACAACAGATATTTATATTTAAAACAAATTCATAAAGTATAAAAAATTAAGCAAAGAACTATCTAAACTATCATGTCACCTCAATATCGTTTCAGTGTATTCTGATTAAAATGAAGCAAGCAAAACTCAGTGTCGTAATTTTCACTGCATATATACATACTAACAGTATATTTTAATTAAACATAATTCAACTCGTATAAGTATTAAGTAGATTGTAATAAAACCAGAGAGAACTATTTCTGTAGCAGGTACTTCACACGACAAACGAAACGACTCAACCGTTACCGTACCGACTGGATGTGAAAATAATTGAAGTTAGAGTGCGACTGAATGAAATCCATTCGATTTAGATTTCACACAAGGCTTTGTACAATTTTTTCCTATACCCTTATTTTCGTACCGCGATTGGATTACTTGAATAATATCCATGTATATATTTATTTACATTCATTATTTTCTTACTTCATAAAAAATATTTCACTTGCACGTTTTAGGTATAGTTCTTCTTTTGTTTTATTACCTCATTATATTATATCTTTATTAATAATGATTATATTCTATAATATTTAAAATATTAAAAACATGTATACACAATTACACATACCATTATAGTCGTCTCATACAAAAAAAAAGTGATCAGGTACCATTAAAGTTACTACGCAAATATAGTAGAATAATAAATCAATATGGAATTACAAAGTTGTTTTCGAAATTTTTTGAGAAAAGTTTCTTACACTAAGATAAGGAACGACATTTCTATATGCTCGTAGTATAATTAATTAAAATAGTTTTACGAGAAAGTTAAAGCCAATTGTTTACGTACTTACCTTGTATATTGTGACGTAATTATAAAAACAGTACACTATTGTTATAAATAACAACTGCATTGTATTTAGTAATGAGTCTGCTTGGTGAACAAAATAGATTGTGATTGTGGTAATTTTTATGCTGACTATGCTGTTATACATATTTTTATATACACAAAAGGAGTAAAGTAAAGAATACTATACTTGAAAATCTTATATCTTGAGCAGTAATTTTATTCGGGTGATAATATACTGTGCAATGCAAACCCAATCAAACTCAGCAAACTCAAACAGTGAGGGTGTCCTCGTAAACGAGTAATCGAGTGTTCAATTGAGCAAGATCTCGATTATCCAGAAATTGAAATCGAATGCGGCCGGCGAATTGAAAACGAATCTTCAACTCGTCCTGTTATTCTCTCCTTTAATTCCTAAAGAACTCTTTTAAAATGAATTATATTGTCTTCTCTGCATACATTATTAATATATCCACCCATCTACTTTTAACGACTAAGGTTTCTTAAAGACAGTATGATATGTAGTAATATTTTATTAATGAGAAACTAAGGCCGCTTATGATAAAGACATACCTATATTTTAAAAGTGACAAGAATAGTAGAACAAAAGAAAAAAGGTGTATATAAAATGTATATAAAAAAAAATATAATAAAAGTCTAAAAAGGTGCGTCGTGCACGCCTACAGATTGTAATTTCAGGTGTTGATTTGCTTTTTTGTTTTTTATCGCAAACTCCAAGAATTTATTATTCCAAAATAACCGAGTATGTATACCTACTTTATTGAAATATAATTTCCTAGTCATTTTTATTATGCAACGATTTATATATAGTTTATTGCACTTTTAAATACAAGCTTTGAATATATGTTATAAGTTTATTTATTAAATTTATTTCATTATTAAGAAAATATACAATAGCTAGCTTCTAATTATTGAGAAACACATAATATTCCAGGTTCTATCTATACCTGCATCTACATAAAATCAACTTCACTGTTTTATTTCTACAAATAACTAATTTGTGATAGAAATAAAACATATATTATTTT